GTATCACAACCATCTCCCAACCCCTCCACCCCGACACTCATCAGTCAGGATGCAGGCAGGCCAGCCGCAGGGCCTGCCATTGAGCAAAGAGCAGGGTCTCTGCCTTGGCCAATGAGAGGGGGAGATGCTGCAGGGGCCTCATGGGGGGTGGGGGACAGGGGCACAGGGCTGAAGCGGTTGGCTGCAGAAGGGTGATGCCATGAGTTATCACACTGAGTGACACCAACCCTAATGAAGCCACTGTCTTGAGTCTCCCAAGAGGCATCAGTTTCAACTGCCTTGGAAGACAACTCTATGCTCCTTAGGGTACTTCCTAGGCCCCCAAACCTACCCTCTAATTTTGAGAATGATCCATTGAGATGTTTTCAAATTAAGTGATAACAAGTAGACACTTAATTTTATTCTTACATATGATTTCTTTGTCAGAGACTTAGGTGAAAAGTTACACTTTACTTGAAGGTGACCTGGTTTAATCTCAGCTGATGATTGTGGAAGACGCTGAGTTAAGGAGAAAAAGAGGAGAAGGGGGTGTTGTATCTGGAGTGATCAGAGAAGACTTCAAAGAAGATAGGGCATTTGACCTGTGACTTTAATGACAGAGGGAAGGATATTCTAGGCAGAGGAAATACCATGGGCAAAGGTGAAAGGTGTGGGGGATCGCAATCAACGTCACACAAAAGATTTGTTATGAATCATTGAATGGAAAACTAATTTGTTCTGTATACTTCACCCAAATCACAATAAAATGTTTAAGAAAATCATTTTAAAAAGGTGGAAAGTAGAGGCCTAAGAGAGGATGCAGGCCTAAGGAACTTGAACTTGCTTGGTGTTGTGGAAGGTCAAGGTAGCAGAAGGAGATGGTATGATGAATAGGTAAGCAAAGACACCAGATCTGGAGGACCTCAGATCCTTAAATAGCAGAGACTTGATCCTGGAGGCTGGATTTTTCCAAAGTGTGTTCCCCATATACCCACAATACCCACTGCCATCGAGTCAATTCCAACTCACAATGACCCCCCACCATTGGATTTCCAAGGGTGTAAATCTTTATGGAAGTAGATTGCCTCATCTTCCTCTCATGGAGCAGCTGGAGGGTTTGAGCCACCAACCTTCTGGTTAGCAGTCAAATGCCTTACCCACTACGCCACCAGAGCTCTTTTCCACATACACCAGAGCCATGGAACTCTCTGCTCAAAAAGTGGGATGGAACTTTGTACCCTCCACTTACAGGCTTTTTCCATTACTTGTTACTATTATAATGTTGTTGTTGTTGTTATGTGCCGTCGAGTCAGCCCTGACTCATAGCGACCCCTCCTTGGGTTTCCAAGGCAGTATCACTACGGAAGTAGGATTGCCCAACCTTCCTTCTGAGGAGTGGCTGGTGGGTTTGAACCGCCAACCTTCTGGTTAGCAGTCAAGTGCTTTAGCCACTATGCTACCAGAGCTCCTACTATTATAATAGTAATACATAAATCAGACTTTAGAAGAATTGAAAAGCCAAATAGATGACTTCACAGTCATAGTGGGAGACTTTAATACACCACTTTCTTGGAAAGATAGAACAACTGGAAAGAAACTCAACAAAGATGCAGAAGAGCTAAACAATACAATCCACCAACTTGGCCTTATAGACATCTATAGAGCACTTCACCCAATAGCAGCACAATATACATTCTTCTCCAGTGCACATGTAATTTTTTCTATGATAGACCATATGTTAGGCCATAAAGCAAGCCTTAATACATTTAAAAACATCAAAATACTGCAAAGCATCTTCTCAGATAATAATGCTATCAAATTAGAAATCAACAATAGGAAGATCAGCAGCAAAAGAGTAAACACATGGATACTGAACAACACCCTCCTTGAGAAAGACTGGGCAAGAGAAGAAATCAAAATTGAAATTTGAAAATTCCTTGAATCAAATGAGAATGAAAACACAACATACCAAAATTTTTGGGACACAGCAAAAGCAGTGATCAGAGGCCAATTTATAGCAATAAGTGCACACATCAAAAAAGAAGAAAGAGCCAAAATCAATACTTTAAACGAACATCTCCAACAATTAGAGAAAGAAGAGCAAGAAAAACCTACAGTCACCAGAAGAAAGGAAATAATCAAGATTCAAGCAAAAATCAATGAAACAGAAAATAGAAGGGCTATAGAAAAAATAATAGTAATAAAGACTCTGCTAAAGCTAACAGTAGTTGTCTATGAGTGTTCACAAGCTAGGCACTGCTCTAAGCACTTTGCATGCATCACCATGTTTGCTCCACATCACAGCCCTCTGAACCAGGTACTGCTATGCCCACTGCCATTGAGTTGAGTTGATTCTGACTCATAGCTATCCTATAGGACAGAGTAGAACTGCCCCACAGGGTTTCCAAGACTGTAATCTTTACACAAGCAGACTGCCACATCTTTCTCCAGCAGAGCAGGTTGGTGGGCTCGAACTACTGACCTTTCGGTTAGCAGTCACACATTTAACCACTGTGCCTGGACCAAGTTTCCTTTGGTACTGCTGTACTCTTCCCATTTTGCAGATAAGAAAACTGGCTCAGAAGGGTTAAGACATTTTCCCAAGGTCACACAGCTAGTAAGTAGTAGAGCTAGGGTTTGAACTCACACATTCTGACGTTGGCAAGTCCTGGAGCAAAGAACTTGTTTAACATTGTTTCATCTAGCATTTCCCAAAGTTGCTTTTAATTATGGAAATAATTTGCATATAATATATAGTAACATTCTATGAAGAACACATTAAAAACTTCTGACCCAGGAGCCTTTTGATTTTATTTGCAAAGACAATTAATAAGCTCATTATAAGTCAGTTATACCTTAGTGTGAATTAGTCCTTTCTTAACTAACCAACTGCAGTCAAGTTGATTCCGACTCATGGTGACCCCATGTGTCAGAATTGAATTGTTCTCCACAGGGTGGAGATTTTTAGTGGCTGATTTTTTGAATGTAGGTTGCCAGACATTTCTTCTGAGCCACCTTGGGTGGACTTGAGCCTCCAACCTTTTGGTTAGCAGCCAAGCATGTTAATTGTTTGCACTACTCTGGGACGGCGCCCTTTCTTGGATCCCTCGATTTTCTTATAAGCTCCCTGAGAGAAGGCACTGTGTCTGAATCACCACTGTGTCCTTCAAGGTAACCAGGAGAGGTGGCAGGGGATGGGTGCTCCCAGTACTCTTGCTTGAACGAGTGGAGTTATTACTCTGTTGAAGACATTGAGAGCAGTGGAAAGAAAGTGAGAGGCAAGCGGTGGCAGGGTGGGTGTGGGGAAAAGGATCCAGGTAGCTGGGAAGGGGCATCTTGGGATTCAGAGTCTCAGAGCTAGAGCAGAAAGCAAGACTCACCTACTTCCTAGCATGGCCAAAGACCAGACCTGCACCTGTTCAAAATGCAACATCCAAGTATCTGCTGTGTTCGCTTCCAGACAGTAAGTGAACCACCCAATTAATGGGAAAATGAGACATTTACTGGAGTTGAAGGTGTATCAAGAAATTCTTGATTTTAGGAATCAAAGTTGGGGGAGAAAAGTCAGAATTGTATATATCACCCCCTCCAGGAGCTGCTTTGGAAGGTTGGTTTGTTAAACGCAGAGGTCCTTAGAAAGCACCTAGCCCACTTCTCTCTTTCTAAAGAGGGCAACACTGAGGCCAGAGATGGAGCTGGTTAAGCAGGGATCAGAATCCAAGGGTCTACTCCCAGCAGGGAGCTCTGCCCATGGGTTCAGGGCCCCAGTCCCTTTCCCTAACCACCCCTCCATGGCTTCCTAGCCCTGCCGCCTCTGTCCTCCCCACCCTTGCCTTTGGGTGTCAGTAGGAGGCACCCCCTGTGCATGCCCCACCCTCATTACATCCCACTCCTACCCCAGCTGTACTCCCTGCTGTCCTGATGACCCTAATGAGATTACAGATTCCTGGTGAAATAGACGAGGGTTAATTCCCTCTGGCTTTAAAGGGCAAGCCAGGCCACAAGCAAAAGCAAACAGAAAACCTTTTGCCAAAAAAGCTAAGCATGACGATGATACTAACAGCCCCTCCCCTGTTCAGTGCATTACAGTTCACCACTGCTTTCACAAACGTGCCCTGCATGGAATTTGGCACCAGCCCTAAGGCAGTACATGCTATTATTATCTGTTTTATGGATGGGGACAGTGAGATTCAATGGCCTGTTCAAGGTCACACAGCTAGTAAGTGGCAGAGCTGTGACATGAGTACAGGTCTCTCAGGTTCTATCATCTTTAAAACAATAGGGCCCAAGGACATAAAGGGTGTCCAGGCATAAAACTGCCCTGAAGAATACATTTCCTGATCCCTACTTCATGGTGAGTTCAGAGCCCAAGTTTGAACTCAGGTCCACTGAATTCAAATCCCACACTCCCCATGATCCTGCCAAATGTGCTTGAACCCACCCATCTGCTCATATGGCAGAAACCAAACCAATGTAGGCCTGAATTTCACTCTGCTACTTCCTAGTTCTGTGACTGTGGCCAAGGGATTCTGGCTCCTAGAGTCTCAGTTTCCCTTTCAGTAAAATGAAGGTGGGAATCAAGGGTTGTTAGGATGATTTCCTATGATCACCATAGGTAAAGTGACTAGAACAGGCCTAGCACACAGCACATGCTTGTTAGTCAACTTTTTGTGCCTTAATTTCCTCATTTGTAAAATAGTGATGCTTTTAGGTTGGTGTTAGGATTAAATATACTAATACAAGTACTGTGCTTCCAGAATGACACCCAGTGCAGTAAATAATTAATATTAGCAGTCACCAGTGTTTTATTGCCTTCAACGCTTTCTGGAATGAAGTGATGGTAAAAATCTAACCAACCAACCAGATGGTCCTCCTGCTCCTCCCACCACTACCTGGTCCCCTCCCTTGTATAAGATGAGCACTTGGCTTTGAAGTCTGAACCCCCAAACCACGTGGTCTGCTCTAATTTCCCAGGCACTAATCTCCTACTGGCTCCTAATGATGCAGCAGGTAATAGGATTGTGGCTTCCCTCTGGGGCGGCCATACAGGCCATGGCCATGGGGTGGGCAAATGTTCTCTAGAGACCCTGATCACCTGCCTGCTGAGCGGACAGAGCCCCCACCTGGACCAGTGTCCTCGGCTGGCCTCACCCACATGGAATGGTGCTGTGCCCTGTGCCAGCAGTCTGGGTTCACCATGGTGCCAAGTGCCATCCTGGCACGAGGGAGGGACGTGTGCAGGCGGAATGGACTGCTCATCCTGTCTGTGTTGTCTGTCATCGTAGGCTGCCTCCTCGGCTTCTTCTTGAGAACTCGGCGCCTCTCACCACAGGTCAGCCACCTAGGATGTCGCAGGGTCCCCGTCTGGGAGGGTAGTGCCTGCCTGAGGGACCTGGGATCACATTCCAGCTCCACAGTTCCCTGGCAAGATGACACTGGGCAGGTCACTTTGCTTCTCTGAGTCCCAGATTTCTCATCTATAACATGGGTGTGATGAAAAACTTGCAGGACTAGAGTGAGATGCCACTAAAATGACTAGAGCGGTGGTTACAAGCCTGAGTCATGTCCAGATAAATGGGAGCCAAAGATGCTAATAAATGTGAGGGAGGGAAAAGTGGGGTCTTGTAAGGGCATCAGAAAAGGCTTTCTGAAGGAACTCATAGGAGTAGAGATCGAGTAGGACACAAGAAAGGGCAGTCTAGGAGAGGTAACAGCAAGAGCAAAGGCACAGGGACGTGTGACTTTGGAGTGTGTGGAACAAGCCATTCAGGCCAGGCACGGGGCAGAGCACAGTGTCCAGCTGGTCTCTAGGTCCCACCACCAAACTTGGACTTGGGGCAACCATGAGAAGTTTTTGAGCAGGGGGTGATATGATCAGATCTGATCTTTGACTAGATCCCTCTGGTGCTGAGTGGAAGATGGCGTGTGGGTGAGGCAGGGGGCTGAGTGAGGAGGGGGCTGCAGGGGTGAGTTATGATGGTGAGGATGAGAGGGGCAGATATGAGAACTCTTTCCAAGGAGGAACCTTCACGATGTGGTGTTGGACTGGATGTGGAGTTGGGGAATAGGGAGGCAAGGCAGGTCCCCAGATTTCTGGTTTGTATAACTGGAAGTGTGTCTTGCCCAAAGAAGGACCTCTTTTTCTCTTGTTGTAGAGAAACAAGGTCCTTTCCCCCTGTTGTGAAGAGCCAATGATCACAACAGGTTGAAGAGGGAAAGCAAAAGGCTTATTGAGAATCGATACCCAAGGAGACAGAGAAAATCATTTCACTAAAATGTCTGTCTCCCTGAGCAGAGGGGTAAGCATGTTTATACAGGGAAATGAGAAGGGGGTGGAAGATCCCTTGGACTGTCAGGAATGTCTTTGTTCTTCTCTTGCCTGATTACTCCAGACTCAATGTCCCTTTTCTCAGGGTCGTCTTGCTTCATAGGTTACAGTTCTCAGCCGAACCCAGTCGTGGGAGAGGGTAATGTTTAGAAGAATACATAAGTGAAAATAACAAATCTAAAGAACTCAGCATCTGTAAAGAGGCTGGCTATTCTATTTACTTAAAATAAAAGCAAAAGGGAGGGGAAAATAACGAGTTAGTCGCTGTGATTAATGTCTATTTTAATCACGCTTGCTAGTCTGTTAAAGTTCTGTAATTTTCAGTGAGCGGCCCATTTGGCCTTCCATTTCAGCCTTCCACACTCTCAGCCCTCACTCTCCAAAGGAGAGGTAAGGACACACAAATGAATTTCTGGAACATTCCCTATCCCAGAAAATTCCTCTTCCTGCAGCTCAGTGATATCCAATACTGTCTCTACAACAGGGACTTGCATTAGGCTTGGTCTTCTATTTAATGGAAAATACCATCTCCCTGTGAACTGAAGGAGCTCTGGGGGCGTAGTGCCTAAGGCATTTGACTGCTAAACAAAAGGCTGGTGGTTTAAACCCACCAGCCACTCCTCAGAAGGAAGATTGGGCAATCTACTTCCATAGAGATACCATCTTGGAAACCTAAGGAGGGGTTGCTATGAGGCAAGTAGGAAGTCGCCAAGTTGGGGAGCAGGGGAGGATCATCCCAATAAGCAAGGACTCAATGGCAGTGAGTTGTTGTTGCCATGAACTTAGTCCACTATTACTACAGTTACTACAACAATTACAATGGCATTAAGCTGCTAGAAGTTATTTAGGGGGAGAATAGACTCTGGAGGTCCGTGTAAACAGTTTGTACCCAAAAGGTCGGCGATTTAAACCCACACAGCAGCACCACAGAAGAAAGCCCGGTGACTTGCTTCTTCTGTCACGATTACAACCAAGGGAATCCTATGGGGTGGTCCCCCTCTCTAACACATAAGGTTACTCTGAATTGGAACTGACTTAACAGCAACAGTTTTTTCTTTTTTTTTTTCCGGACTCTGGAGGAATTTGAACTCTGCTAGTAAATGGCCGGTTGGTCCTCAGCAAAATCATAGCTCCTCTCTGGGCCTCAGCTTCCTTCTCTGTAAAATGGAGCAGGTGGAAGTATCTGTCTACTGAAGTTATACCTACTCCTTACTTGTCAACTATCTCATTATCTGACATTCCACATTTACAATAGTAAAAAATCTACTGTCTGACTTATTTACACATTGAAGACCTACCTCTGGCAGTAACAGATGCCTAGGTGTGAGGCAAGAGTAATGCTGGCAGTGATGGTTAAGGTTATGTGTCAACTTGGCTGAGCTGTGATTCTCAGTGGTTTGGCACCTATGTAACAATGTAATTTGGGAGTTAGATAATGACAAAAATTTGGCAGTTATGTAATGATGTAGTCACTCTCCATTTTGTGATCTGATGTGGTCATCCTCCAGATTTGCATACTGACCTGGTCTTTGGAACTTAACTATGACAATAAGTGAGTGCTGGGTGTATTGTGAGGGTTAAACAGAGCTTGTGAAGGATTCTTCAGCGCCTGGCATATAGTAGGTTCTTAGTGACTGTTACTTCATTTCTTCCTCCCTTATCTACCTGTCAAAGTCCTATCTACATCAAGAGCCATCTCATATTTTGTATCTTGTAAAAGTCTTCCAGACCTGCCCACATCTGAAATAATATTCTCCCCACCTTATGCTCATTCCCTGTTGTAACTTAGCTACTGGCTGGCTGACTTGCTTCAGAGCTGTTGATGTAGGTGTCAACTTCTCCTAGCAGATGCCGACTTTCTGAACATCATATGGGCTTTCTTGAATGAAAATGTGAACCTCGCTCAGTCCCAGGCCCAGAAAGAACCATCAATTATTTGCCAAATTAAATTGGCAATGACACAAATGATCTACTCTCGTTATTTGTCCTCAATGACAAATATATATATCCTGCAGGGTGATTATTTTGTGAAAACAAATTGGAATGCTTATTATTAAAAGCCAAACTCATCTGGGGCCTCGTTTGCCAAAGCTGCCTTCCCCATCTGTTTGGAAATGCAAATGTATTCCGGTCTGGATTAACCTGACAGATAAATTGAAGGGAGGATGTGAAGTCTTAAAATAGTTATTTGGCAGAAGGTGGATTTCTTAGCATTTTACTTTGAAATCCAGGATTTCTCTGTCTGATCTCTTTGCCTGTGACTCAGAAACTAAAGCCTTATTTTGTAAACTTATGCAACAGCAAAAATCACCAACAGTTTGGGAAATAGTCAAATGTCCTATTTTGGAAAAGAACTTAAGAAAAGATAAAAAGATTTTATCTTTGAATATGAGTATCTCATTTTAAAATATAGACCATTTTCAGGTTTCCAGTTAAACCATGTTGTTGTTCTTGTTATATACCATCGAGTCAGACCCGATTCATAAAGACCCCTCCTTGGGTTTCCAAGGCGGTATCACTATGGAAGTAGATTGCCCAACCTTCCTTCCGAGGAGTGGCTGGTGGGTTTGAACCGCCAGCCTTCTG